TAACCAGGCCCTCCCACATGAGCACATTGTAAGCCCCATATATCTTTGACCCACCAGGCCATAACAGATGAAAAGAGAACCTACAGGTTGCTAAGGCATCAGTCTTCAGTCAAAAGGCTGAAAGAGTTCGATTGTTTTGTTTAAAACAATTCTTAGACACAGTTTCAAATGTATTTATTTTAATAATTCAATTAAAGCAATAAAATATTATAATATTTTATTATAAGTATATTTTAAAGGGTTAGTTAAGTCAAAAAATTTAAATTCTGTGATTAATAACCCTCATGTCGTTCCAAATGCGTAAGACATTCGTTCATTCTCGAAACATTTTTAATAAAGTCTTAGAGCTTCCTGTCCCTCGATTGACAGCTACGCAACTGCCATTTTCAAGACCCAGAAAGGTAGTAAAGACACCATAAAAGTAAAATCATAAGCATGCTTTGTTTGCACACAAAAACATAATTTTACCACTTTATTTACCAAATGTTAATCTCCAACGTGCTCTCACACAATCACACATATTTTACATCATTGACAAGGAAAAAGTCACTATTCACGGTGTCGTATAGCTTTCTGCTGCTTATCTTTCAAAGCAGTGACGAAACGCTTTCATTTTCTCAAAGACAAAGAAAGATAGCCAAAGCTCGGTTTAAACCAATTGAAATTTCTACCCACCGTGGGACCATACACAGGCTAGGGAAACTATTAATATTGATGTTAAAAAACCTCAGAAAGTGAAAATTTCAAGTCAGGGTATCTTTAAGCTCGAAATGTGCATTTTCATGTCTATTCAAAAAAAGTGGGATGACACTTAAGAGGTTAACTCTTCGTTGTAACAATACATTATTTGCACTGCTGAAAAGAAAAAAAATGGGCCAGGAATTGTGGCCTTGCCATCACATGTCTGTCTGGGAGCTGATGTCATGTCTCGCAGAGGTCAGCACCTGCGGTGGTCACAGACCCCACAGACAGAAAGAAATATTCACAATGAGTGTAGCAGAAAACACCATGTATCTAGTAAATATGGAAAAAAAATAAAGCCTTAGTATGAATGCTTAAAGTTTTAAAAGGAGCTTGTTAATGCCAATTATGAGCAATAGTGATGCTAAACACAGCTATTGTTTAGCACTCAATGAAAACATTTAAATAACAGATTCCGTTTCTAATAATCTATGCCGACCCAAGACAGCAAGTTGAGAGCTAAAATTGATGATCCAAACTGGGTATTGCCTCCCACGTAGCAAAAAAGGAGCAGATTATGTATGCAAAATGGAAAAGAATGTCAGAACGAAAAAGCTTTTTAAAGGAACATACAGTCTGGTATCCTCAAGGCAAGGGATTCCTCTGTTCTTGGTGATCAAAGCTTTGGGACTCTGAGACACAAACACTCACACAAAGCTTGGAATTAGCCTTTGTCCTCTAGAGGATAAAAGTCTTTGCCGGACTCTCTCATCTTGTGAGGAAATCTGTCAAGTGGGAACATCCAAGGTCAATAGTGCAGCGAAAGCATGAAAGATCCCCGCACACGTCTCCGCTGGAGAATATCCTCTTGAAGCTATAGTGCACATGCACTGGACTTCATGAGACATGAGGACATTTAACGAGCAGAGTATTCCCGAGAAACTTTGCATTAACTCGTAAAACTTTTGCAAATTTTAATGAGATATTTGTGGTGCTTTTTGATTCTTGCCAGCTCCTGGACCATATATGCTTTTGTTATATATATATATAACAGCATTAAGCTTTTTCAAAACATCTAAGGGTAAGGGTCAGTAGGCTAAATGGTGACAAAAGTTTTAATTATTACTATATCAATTTTCTTTTATTTTAATCTCAGTTTTAATTTTAATTGTAGTTTCTTTTAGTTTCTTTAGATTAAAATAATTAAATAAGTATATATATATATATATATATATATATATATATATATATATATATATATATATATATACAGTAGTGTGAAGTTAAACATTTATTTATATTAGTTAAAACATTATTGGGGGCGACTAGAGAAAAAAAAATATATTCCGAACTGATTGTCATAGAAGGTGTTACGGAACGCCACGAAAAGTGTCATCATCGAGATGACGTCATCCGTCGGAAAAAGCCGAACTCAACTCGTGATGAATCTAAAAAAAAAAAACCTCGTGATGAATCTCTAACAGGTGCGCTTGTAATTAGAGCGCATTAACCCAAACAGAGTGTGAACGATTGTCCTGCGTTTTTATCCAGCTTTTCTCCTTGTGAGGAAAAAAAACTTTGACTAGAAATGTTATGAAGTATAAATGAGTAGGTTACAGAAATTGGATGCGCATAAGTGATTAGACAACCCGAGACGCTTCTGGTTGGATGACTGTTTGAAGCTCAATTAACTTATATACAGATAAATACCATCTTGTGTGTAAACATTACAAATAACATATTTTGAGACATTTTACTTCGATTATGGTATTGCTGCATTAGAGTGCATACGATAATTCATATATGAAAATGTTGAAAATGTGTATTGTGGTAATGCATAGGATGTCAAATGTTTGTTTGTAAATAGTAATTGTCTTTTTCTTCGGTTATTTGAACAGTTCAAGGAATGAGTGTTTCAAAAATAATCTAACTGCAAAGAAAGCTCATCTGTTTCAATCTATGAAATCAACAGACTGCAAGTCAATATTGTAACAACTTACGTTATATCGAAGAGAAAGTAAAAGCTAGATGTTTCCTGTGTCTGTGGTTGATTAAGCCCCTTTTCAAGTTAGAGGCAGAACTGAAGAGTGTGAAATCCAAGAAGTAACTAGTTAAGAATAACACTGCTATGTGCACATTCTGTTGCTTTTTAAAAATGCATACAGTAGATTAAGCATTCATATGCATTGTAAACTTGAACCACAGGCTCCCTCTACTGGAGATTTTATGTAATGCTACCGTTAAATAAAAAAGAGCCAATTAAGCACAAAAACAGAACAGTTCAAAGAGAGTTGAGATTAAAACAGAATTTTCAGATGTGGAGAGTAGTCTAATCTCAACATCAATCCACTACTGATATGCTATGAGATTCTACAGATGTAGCAGCCAGTCGATGCTAATGCTAACTCACTGAGCATGTTTCTGTGAGGCAAAACAGTAACTGGCTTTAACAATTTTGCAAATCCACTCTCCTTTTTTGTGTTAAAAAACACACACACATTGTCAATTCTAATTTGATCTTTCACAGGCTATAAATACATAATATGTGTGTGTGTGTTACAACGCCGACCTAACAGCTACCAGACCGGCAAAAACATTCAGCTAACCTGTTGAGGGCAGGAATCATGGGATACACACAGCAGCAGTCTGAAAGAAAACTGTCTTTTGACACTTGTGTTGCCATAGGCAACCTGTAGAAATGCTGTTAGGAGACTGTAAGTCCTGGAGCCAGTGACAGAATTAATACTGGGGAGGTTACATTGGAGCCCCATAAAGCCGAGGCCTGCGCGCGGTGCAGGGAATGTGGGCGACTGAGTTCAAGCACTCACCCGGGGAGGAAAAAAAGTTGAGCCACACAAAGAAATGACAATTATGGCAGGTCTTTGTTACTGTGCGGATGACATCGTGTCCAGTTACTCATCCTGCTTATCCAAGTTTAGAAATGTTAAAAGTCAGTATAGCCTACGAAAACTGATTGCAACTTGAATTTGAGGAAATCAAATTCATATAAAGTTAGGCCGCAGACAACATCAAATGTTGTCAAAAGTCATCAAAAGTCTCTGTAAAATATTAAAGGGGAGGGTACCTATTATGCAAAATTCACTTTTATTGTGTTTGAATGTGTGTCTGCAGTGTGTGTACACACGACCATATAATAGAAAAAATCCACCCACTCCTTTTTTAATTCCCAAAAATCACCAACAGTGAGCAGTACACAGTCCACCATGTTTATCTCCTCAGAGCATTTAACAGCAGCATTTAAGAAAGAAATGTATTCTTATTAAAGCTACTAAAGTTGTTCAATCCAGAGCAGTGAGCGATTTTTATTTATTTATTTTTATTCCTTTTGTTGTTTGATTTATATTAACAGCATATCAGAATGTAGCCTGTATATTACGGCATGCCAGAACTGATAGAACACACTGTAACTCAATACTACGAGTCAGAAATCAATATGAACTGAGGAGGTCGTTTGACACAGGGGATTTGGTGACATGTTAACGTCATTTTAAATCCATTTAAAACCCCTTGTTGTTGATTGAAATAAAACTAAACGGAAATCTATAAATATCAGATAAAAGGCAATCTTACATTTAAAGTTGCCTTCTAAACAAACTGAAACACAATCTGAAATAAGAATAATACAAATAACAGACCAAAAAATATAAGATTATTCACTGAAAACACACGCACACACACTAATAATGATTCTTCAAAACCAAAGAAATGCTCAATTAGTGAGAGAAACCACTGACCAAATTGCATATTCACTGATTCTGATTCGATCTGAAATGGATTCATTATTATTATTAAACTTTTTTTAACTGGAACTTTTTGTATTATTGTCTTAATAAAATAATGCTTGTATATTGTATATTATAAATATTTCTGCAACTAAACATTCTATCGAGATGACCTTTAGTCGCGAGTATAATCCCAACTGTAGCACCATCTCACATATCTTACTGTTTACTTATTATATTTAACAAACAATATTTCTTTGATAGTGCTTTCGTGGTAGCTTTGCTATGTGCACATTTATCAGAAAATAATAATCCTATTATAGCTATAAGTCTAAATGTTGATTTGATTGGGCATGTGACAATCTGACCTTGATAAATGACTGTCCAGGTCTCATTAGCCCAGCCTTCCAGCTGTGAGCCCTCCAGCGAGATGCTCCAGCAGGACTAATGAGACTGATGCATAGGTTAATATTTCAATTTCTGCTGCTTATATATATATATATAACTGCCTGTTTGTTATAAGACTCTTCAAAAGACTAATGATCAACCCCTGTCTACAAATCAATGCATGCAACACACATTTCTGAGCTTTTATTCGCTTTTCAACTGATACAGAGCTTGATGCTGATGTCAACATGCAAGGTGAACTTAGCTATCACTCATTAAGCGGTTAACTCAATTTCTATACTTCTAATGATATGCACTACCTTAAAGAAAGAATAAATTATTTTACAAATTAAAGTAAATTGAAATAAATCAGTCGATCTAGCCATGCCATATGCTGCGTTGGAAGCTCTGATTTTAACATATTACAGGGTGCAAACCAAACAAACAGTCAATACAGTTATAAACAACTGATAACATTCCATTTCATGACAATAAACAAATTTCATAGTGGTAGTGGCTACATGGTCAAATCAAGGCATTCATAAACATACTACCACAGAAAAGGAATATCAAGTAACAAAAAAAGACAAAACTCAATCATGATGCATTATTTTAAGTTTACCTGACTGTCTGACTGAAGAAGCCTGTGTTAAATACTCGTACAAATATCAGACATCCAGTATACGGATGCCTTTTGTGGGATGCAAAAATCATGCTGGAGCAGAAATTCATCCAGACTGGATAAGAAGCAGAAAATAGAGAGAGTTCACAGACATATCCAGCTTAATTTCACTACTTTTGTCAACACACACACACACACACACAAAACAAACAACAACAAAAAAATCCCTGGAGAAAGCATCCAATAAGTCATCCACCTTCAGAATGGTCTTCATTGCTCTGGACCAGATGTCGCATCTGTCTCTACTCCGTCTGTTCCCCCTGCTTGCAAAACACACTTTTATTAGGTTTACAGTACTTGAATATTTCAGTTTGTCAACAAACAGCTGTCTAATTAACTATGAATTAACAGGGAGATGATGTAACATCACTTTTTTGGTAGGTTTTCATTACAAATATGTAAAAAAATAAGTACACTCATAAATATAAAGGTCCCAAAAGAGGGGTTTACGGAGTGATGTCCTAGAAAAAACATTTTTGCTTCCTCAAAGAACATTTCAAGGAACAGATTTTAAAAGATGTTGGATAAAAACCTTTAAATCCTTACTTGTCTGGTATATACTACTTTGTATTTTGAGCTCTTCTTGTGTTGTTATTGCCTCTTCACGATGACTTGTTTGATTTAGTCCTCAGATGTCAGTCGCTTTGGTTAAAAGCGTCAGCTATATGACTAAATGTAAATGTTTGTCTTGTTTTAAGCAAAGTTTTAACATCTTAAGTCATTTTGCTTCTCAAGTAAATGTATCTTGATTTAAGAATGTTTAGATATCTGTACTGGAAAACAGAAAATATTTTGTTGCCGTGCTTGATAGCTTGGCATTCATCACAAAATATTTGTGACAAAGCTTTACTTATTGATTCATTTTGCCAGAATATGAGCTGATCTTAGCCGGTCTTTTTGTCGGAGTAAAACAGAGCACAGCCTCATTTCGGCGATGCAGATGCACCTGAGGATATAAATAACACTATCATACATAAAATGCTTAGCAACCGAGAACTGGGTTGATGTTGCTCGGGAAAGGCCTAAATTCGGCACAGAGGTGGGTTAGAGTGGAGCGACACAGCTGAAGGAGAGATATTTGGGCCCGGCTGGAGTTTGGAAGGACACCTTCATTCTCATTGCTTGCCCCAATTTTTACATCAAATGACCAGATTCGCTTGGTTCCTCGTCAAAGGATGACGCAGATGAAGGTGGTTCAGATGGAAGCTGTGGTGTGAGAACATTAACTGTCTTTCCATCAGCGCTGGCCTATTTGTTGCTTCAAATTAGAATCTCAACACACCTCTGGGGATCAACCAATCGAGAACCATTTGCATACATACTGAGCGGAGGGAAACTGTTTGTGCAGAACAAAACACATTACCCGAAAGGAAATTGAAAGGGGGAAAAATCTGTGCAAGGCTTTAATATTGAATCCTGGAATTGTGGAGGCCTAAGCCACCCACAGAAGAAATTAAATTTGAAAGATCTGTGTCTCAAGAAACTGAAATAATAGAGAATACAGAGTGACTCTGTAAGTCGGTGAAGCGGCTACAATCTTAACAATCAGGGAAAATGATAGATGTGCTCATTAATAATTACTTGATTGAGAAAATTAATATCTAAAGCACTCAGAGGGTAATTAAAAAGCACACGTGTGCATGTCTTATGTTTAATCAGTATAAAGATATGACTCATTGAACATAACTGATGGATTTTTCATTTTGTTCCATTTTTTGTTTGATTTTATTTCATTATTTTTTTCAGTATTTTCATGTTTTTTATTCTAAATCTTTGGTACACATTATAGCAAAAGGGTGAATCAACATACTCTTGAACTCTCATTAAAGTTCAAAGCTCCAATTGTTTACTTCAGATCTCAAAGCCAAATTCTGCAAGGATCTGTGAGGGTTTTTAAGTGTCTTGCCAAGCTGAGTTAGATCAAGATAGCTGGCGACCTCTGCACAATGTGCTATGGTATTGTTGAGTCATGGCTCTTTGACGGTCAGGGACAGTGACTGACCTGAGTCCCCTTGGCTGCCGTTGAGGGCCTCACCACTGCTGCTCACCTCCTCATTGGGCTTTTCCCCAGGTTTCATCTTCTTCCGAGTCATATGACCACGGAAGCCGGCCTGGATTTTGGCGGCCGCTTTATTGGCCTCTGGGTCATCCAATGGGATGTCCATGATGTCCTCTTCCTCTTGTGGCTGGCTGCATTCCTCCTACCAGGGATGAACAATAATTTCAGCAGGGGTGTATTGCATATTGATTTAGCTCTTTCTTAAAATGATTCAGAATCTACTGAGATCTTATATACCCTAGTGGGTTTAGCATGATGGATCTCTTGACCATTTAAGCCCCCTTGCAATGAATCACTATCCATCAAACTTTTTTAGGACCAGCTTCTCCCGCACATATAATCACCAAATGAATGATCAGGTTGGATTATCAAAATAACCTTTCTGTGACAAGAGACATATTTTTCATAATAAGAAGAACATTTTTACAATCTGAAGAATGCTTTTCCACTATAAAGCACCTTTTGTGAAACGGGAAGAGGGTCCATACATTTTTGTTATTCAGAAAGTTGTTCATGGAACCATACAGATGCCAACAAAGAACCTTTATTTTTAAGAGTGTGAGAAACCTATTACCTGTACCAAATGAAAATAAAATGAACAGAAATGTAATAAAACCAAACCACCTTGATGCAAGGACCAACACTGACCAGCTTCCTGTGCTCTGTGAAGCATGTAATCACACACCATTAAAGAGTGTATGGTGGGATGTGATGTTATTTGTCTTTTTATGTCTTTCTGAAGCTGTGAAACCACATGCTTTCTCCCACAACAACCAACATCGCATATGTAAAATGGCTCAGCAGAGGCTGCTTGGCAGTCTTTAAACAGCTTGTGTGAAGAAGATGAGCAGGAGTTCATTGTAAAACCCTGTCCACCCACTTTTGAACTAAGAATCAGCCTCTTTTCATATTAACCAAGCATTTTGCCAAAATGCTTATATGGCCACAGGCAGAGGCGTTCCACAATCCCCTATAAATAAGCATCTGTTCATATTACTGTTATCTCAGAGACTATGCTTACCTCCAATGAAACTCCGCAGTCACAAGCCTTTCCAATGTCTATACCAGACCATTTAATTAAATGATGAAAGATTTGTCATATGCATAAACAGCAAGCAGAAATTATGGAAGTCTCAGCACAAGGACCTCTTAAGCCCATGAGCTCACAAATTTGTTAATTGTTGACACCAATCAATGCACAATAACTACATTCATTTTGTTTTTCCACTATTATAATAATGACACTTTATAATGCCACTTTCTGGCTAAACAGGATAAAACTTTGCATGCTTAAACAGGATTAATAAAGTTTTGTGACAATTGGCCAGTTAACCTAATGGATGCAGAAAGTTGTTTGGCAGCTGATCATTTTGAAATATGCAAATGTAGTCACGACCAAACATGGCATTCAGAACAAGAAAAATGATACATTTAGCCTACTAAAATCCATAAAAATGACTTACTCCATTATGAGATTATAGCCACACCCTACGTCCTATACTAGCTTAGGCAACCATGATAATTGAAAGTTCAACATAGTTTTGATTAATCTTGGTGATACCGACTACTTCAAAAATAAATACTTGGCATTGTTATTTTATTTACAATGGCAAATCCAATATACCTATAGGCTTTTGCGCCACCATATATAACAACACAGAGAAAAATGTGGGATCTTTTGAAGTCTAATAGCTAGCTAAAGCATAAAATTGAATAGAGCTCATTAGACGGTTAAAAAGTGTGAAATGATAATGAGCACAAAATATGCACATAAATCCACAATACCGTTCATAAATTTACTGGACATGAAAATTACCGCCATTGAATACTACAGTTCCAAAACAAACACGTATCTTCAGAATAAGTTTAACATTACTATTTCATAAAAATCAAACTCATTCATCAAACTGGATCAGTTTGTTTTTTTTTAAAAAAAGGATGCTTAATATTTATTAAATACTTTTCACATACAAAAAAGACAAAAGTTGTCAGTAGGCTAACGTTACTTACGACATGACAATCCATGACGCGCAATTACAGACGCTGATAAACGTGTTTTCGTCTCGTGCAAGTGCAACAGCGCGTAAACCTCCTCACAGGGCAAAATACCTTGGACGAATACTCATCTCCTCCAACTATCCTTACAATTCAGAGTCTTTTAGGGTGGGGAGAGACGAGAGAGAGAGAGAGAGAGAGAGAGAGAGAGAGAGAGAGAGAGAGAGAGAGAGAGAGAGAGAGAGAGAGAACGCGCGCGAGTATCATCATTTTGACACCACTGACAGTTCGGTCTTTACTCGTTGCATATGTTTTGTTTAATGTTGACGTTTACAGCGCCATTATTCTCACTTTCCTAACACCTGCTACCAAAAGCATCAGAGATTCGTGGTTTAGCCTTGCAGTGTAGAAAAATAAGATAAGGGACCCACCATGGTCTAAACTCTAAATCAATTATATTACATTATTTCTATTATGCACAGTCCAAAATATTGCTGAGGGCTAACATCATAAACTAAGAAAATACTAGAAGCAGCCCTCCACAGCTCAGTCAGTCCCACACAGTCCGTGCCTCCTCCACCCTGTGGCAATATAGACAAATAGACAGTAAATCCATTGCCCTTTATTTCTCTAGAACAGTGCTCCATCTCCTGCCTCCTACCCTACCAAGATTAAAGAGAGAACATGCAGCTCTGTGCTGTAATGATAACTTCTCTTTTCTTGCTGTTGGACGTGTAAGCCTGGGAGCATATGGTTCACAGAGCACGGAAGTGTTAAAACAGAGTTTCCTAGAAGAAGATGAGGTGACTTTACAGTCGTGCCAGAGATTGATGATAGCCATGAATATTGTTCCTGAAAATAGAACCTACATGATTCCCTTGCCCATTCTACAGCATATAAAGTCATTGGACAAGAGTTGATATAGGTCAGGTTAGATGACCTACATTGGAGTGAGAGGAAAAAAGCTGCGTGTCTTTAACCCCTACAGAACTAAAACACTGCACTTCGGACCAAGGATTGAAAAGTGAAGCAGCTAATTGGGAGCATTTGGTATTATGTTTCTTTGGAAACATTTCACACAACTTCAAAATCTAGATCAGTTTCTCCCTCAGATAAATGGTTGGTAAAATGTTTCCATGGAAACACCACCAAATCTGTCTCGTTCAAACCCGCTTAAAAAAGCTTATGGATTATGTTCTGACCTTTTGGTAAAAGATCTAAACTTCTTTTTTAACATCTCTTTATGAAATGTTGCAAACATTTCTTTAAGCTTATGCATAATGTTTATATGATGTAAGATGTATGCATAGTTTGAGCTTTTTTTTTTTGACTCTTGCTGTCTTGTGCTCACCAGCTGGACTATTTCAGGACATCTTCAATCACTGTTCTCCAGAGAGGAACAGAGCCATGCTGTTGATCAGACATGTCCTTGAAGATTTTATTTTTACTTATTAACTTGGGACAATAAAAGGAGCAGTCTGCATCCAAGTTAAGGATGACGTAGGACTGTTTGATTGTGGCAAAAATCATAATCATGATTATAATTAGTTCACCAAAAAATTTAATTTATCCCATACTTTATTCACTCTCAAGCCATCCTATGTGTATATGACTTTCTTCATTCAGTCAAACACAATCTGAGTTATATTATAGCATTGTAAGGACATTGAATAGTGTATTCATCCATCCATCATAAAAGTAATCCAGAAATCCAAAAGCAATCCAAGCCTTTGCCAAAAGCCAGTGATTATTAAAGGGGTGATGAACTGAGAAATCAAATTTTCCTTGAGCTTTTGACATCTAAGAGGTCATCATATTATAAGAATATCCTGTAAGTTTCAAAACTGAAAACGTCCTTGTTAGTCCAATAAAAGCTTTTATTGACACCAGGCTCAGCAAATGACTCGTTTTTCAAAGTGGGGAACTATGACGATAAAGAGGATAAAACCCCACCTCCGAAGAAGAAGATCAACGTCTACTTCAACACGGCTGGTTTAGCCCCGCCCCGCCCACCGATTCGCATAGCTAAATAACATAGGCCTAGCTCGTGATGACAAACCAGATCGAGCTACCGAGCACAAAATATTGTGCAGTGTCTGGTGGTGGAAGAAGACAGTTGCTGCATATGCTTCCTCTGGATTCCAATAGGAAATTAGCATGCACTACTTTTAGTGCCGTTCCAGCTGATGAGGGTAAAACATTGTCCATCTGTTCGCTTCATTTCACTGCGGATTGTTTAAACAAGACTGAATTTGCAGACTGATTAAGATTAAAGAATGGTGCTGTGCCGTCTATATTGGATCTGACAGGAATGGTGCAACACACGGACTCTGGGTCGAACACGTATGGGCGAATCATTCCGGTTGCCATTTTACAACTTTGAAAGTTTTCAGAACAATTTCCCCCACGTGCACAGATGAGGTGAGTTGAACCTCATTATAATATGCAAAACTGTTATCCACTCACAGCAGTGGGCGTTTACTTCCAAGTCTTCAGTGTGAGACGCCCATAAAAACCGAACGTTTTTGAGCTGGCTCAAAAATTGGATACAAAATAGCCTATTACTTATTCATTGTGATGTTTTTGAATGCAAAAACCAAGCGAACGTCATAAATTGACCTCAGACAACAATATATAAAGCACACAGCTGTAAAGCAATGGAATATGGCACAATAATTGTTGTATCTCTCAGATGTTTTATGCCAAAACACATCATTCAAAATAAAATTTCATTATTCGGCCAGCATTAAGATGAGGCTTCTATCACAACATGACACATAAATTATGCAATCCATATTTTTTTCATACAAATACCATACTTTTTGTTTATCAAATGGGAAGGGAGTGAAGGTACCTTTGGCTTACTGCTGTCAGGATACTCCTGGTTCTCACTTTCAAGTGTTGATTCCTGGCTTTTATCTCTTTGCTCCTTCAACTGATCCTTCTGATCTGCATCATTCTCAGTGTGTTCTTGTAAATCTGTAGGATGTTCTTCCCCGATTACCTCTGTTTCTCTCTCTAAAGGCCTGGGCTCAGCTTCTTCAGCATTCTTTGGTTCAGTATCATGGGTTCCATCATCCTCCTCATCCTCAGTTTTCACCATATTTTGCTGAGGTATGTCTGGATCCATCTCTTCATCATCACAGCCATCACTGTCAAGATCACTCCCGTCATTTACATTCTCTGTGTTTAGATCTTTCTCAGAAGCTTCCATTACATCAGTGTTTAAAATTTCATTGCTTATCATATCCTCTGTTACTTCTGATTCACTGTTGTTTAGTTGGGAAACTGGATTTGGGGTTTCTAAAAGGTCTTCCTCAATTGCATCAATATATTTAGATGTACTCAGCTCATCATTGCTGTTCTCAGCTTCATGCTCATCAGTACGAGTAGGAACCTGATGGTCAACTTCATCTAGAATATCCCTGACTTCACTTTTACTGTCATTTGTTTCATCACTGTAGTCAATATATGCATCTTTCATGTCCATCAGTGATTTACTATTGATATCAGATGTGGAATCAGCAACATCTTCTACTAAGTCATTGGCGCTGCTGTACTCATGATTGGTCTCTTCCTGATCTTCATTGTCTGGTAAGTCATCATTTTCTTCAATATGTTCCTCTGATTCCTGGCCTGCTTCAACTGCACTTTTTTCCCAATCTTTTTCAATTGTACTTTTTTCTGAATCCTCTACATAAACCTGCTCAGTGCTCTTTTTCTCAGAGTCAGTGTCTTCTAATAAAGTATCAAACATTTCTGCGACTCCCTGTTCAGCATCTTCAATATGGCCACCATCATCATCACCATCAGACATTTCATTTGGTGGTTTGCCTTGCTCAATATGTGAAGGGGTTTCAATAAAATATTCATCTTGTGATTCCGACTGTTTTCCATTCGGAGGCGATGGATTTGGGCTTCCCAAATCTCTGTTGGTCTCAGTAGATTCAGATGGGTGGTTTATCTCTTCAGCACATACATCAACATTTGCTAGACCACCAATTTCTACAGCTTCTTTTACGACCTCTTCATCTTTCAGTACCTCTGATGTTTGTTCTGGAATCCCGCTGGGGTCCTTCAGCTCTTGAGCACATATATCAACATCTGCTGTTCCAACATAGGGAATTTCTGCAGGAGGTCTGTGGTCCCTCTCACTGGATTCCTCATCAAGCTTCTTTTCTAACTCATATTTTTGATTTACTTCAGTGTCCACTGAATTATTAGTGTTGAGGTCTTTTAATGCAGAATGTTGGGTTTCGTTGTTTCCAAAAGTTTCAGAACGGCCAGTGTTGTTTCTGAAAATTGACATGTAAGGTATACGACAGTGATTAATAAGACAAATAATTAAAAGCACAAACAAGTAGAACAGGAGTAATAAATGAATCCTTATGTACAACCCAGATGCATATCTGTGCTCTGACACTACAATCAATCGTCCGAAAGCCGCCCTCGGCTTGATCAAATGATCGAAGCTCTGCCTCAGAGATGGAGAGCCAACCGCAGAGCTTCATCCTGCTATAATGTTTAAAACCTGCTGCACTGCAAGAATGTACAACCCGAATAAAGGAAATCATACCAAAACTACAAGTTTTATTGTCTAAATTTTCATCTAAACTCTCACTCGGTGTTCACTTCAGTCTGTCTTCATTTCGATTCTTCTCTCATCGGGAAAACTGTAAGGGAGAGTGAAAGAGTGAAATCACATTTTCTCATCCACACACCTTGTATTTATTTTAGGCAAAATGGAGTTTCCTTGTATTGATGTGCCCTGTTTTGAAAAGAACAACACATGCATGTTATATAAAGGAATAACTGTGAAATAATCTAAAGGTTTAGAGTTTTGTCTTATTTTTTAGATACCTTAAACGAGTGATTATTGTAGAACCTATCTTCCATCTTTGCACCCCATTCTGCTGGATCTAGGCCACTTTCTGGAACAAAACACACTATGTTCAAGCTTGAATTGACTATATAGATTTAATACAAACAAAATTATTTCTGCCTTCGGACAAAGACATATTGTATAAGCCAGCAATGACTAACTCATCCTGTATATGAGTAACTCACATATCATCAAACACTATTAAACATCAGGATCAGAAGAAACCAGCTCAGTCACCTTCTCTGGCTTTAAGAAGCTCTGTGAAGTAGAGAGCAGCATAGGTAGGGATGTCCTCAGGCTGATCTCTCAACACTTCTCTGGCAAGACCCTCCAATAAATTCCCAAAACCTTTAGGGATCCGCAGGTTTGTGTTGGAAAAGGGAACAGACATCTTATACAGCACCTCAAGACAAGTCTGATGAATAAGTAAAAAATAAAAATAAAATAAAAAATAGGGAAAAGATACATTCATTAACAATTAATGGTATTGCAATAGTACACAAAATAATTTAATACACATGTTTAGTTTAATCTCATTAAGATGTTTGTTTTACTGCATAACATAGGCTACACTTATTGGCACTGCTGTTGTGCTAAAACAAGTCATCAAGATGAAAGACAAGCAGGCGTTTTTTTATCAGTAAAATGAACGATATATTCTAACAATAAGTTCTGTCAATCCCACATTTTCTTGTTTGGTTAAATCGGTAGTTATATTAATTATATATTTAATAATGTTGCAAGGTGGACTGGCGTGATGTATCTTAACTTACCGGTTAAAACGACCTGAATAATGTTGTCAACCGTTGCTATGCAACCAGGATATGGTTCCCAACTACCGAAAGCGGAGAGGGTCAAAACGATTCAGAGTCAGAGTCAAGTAACCTAGTGCCAGTATTTAAATCTATGTTAAAAATGTCAAAATATTAGTAGCCTACCAATATATTTATTTAAACACGCAATGAATAAAATACAGCAACAACAACTTTACAAAACCAAAGAAAATGTATTTATTTATTGTCAAACATTAAACAAAACATTAAAACCATTTCAGTAGAATTTAAGAATCGAATTTTGCTGGTATTCGGTAGCATTAATTTAGCTATGGATAACACTTGATTTTACAATTATTCAGGATTAGCCTACCTGAGAAACATTTTCCCTCACAATATTGTCTCATCTTTCTCTTGCTCGATTCGTGAATCGCATCATAATCAATTAAATGTTGTTCTAAAGTTAGAATCGATTCACAAGTCAGTCTGAATCATTCAAACGGTTCCCAACACATCTCCGTTGGAAGCAGTTTCTTACAAAGAACAAAAACAAAGGTTGAAGTTGATTTTTCCCTACAATCAATTAAAACCAAAACTGTATTCTTTCGGTCATCGATGAAGTCCATGGAATTCAACACCTGGCTGCGCTTGCAGCAACGAATTATGCAGGTAAAGACATTTTCCAACAGTATCAAAACAGCTAACAGTAGCTAGTCTATAATTAAATATGACAATATTTTTGACCATATAAACACCTTTCATTGTCCTAACTCCGCTGAATGGGTAGTGTGTGAACGAATTTCAAAGGCGTTTCTAAGTTTTCTAACCTTTCCTTCACCAGTAGTAGTAGGCCAGTTCCCTGCAAAAAGGTAGGGTAAGATGTTTTGGGGCACGTTCTCCCTGGAATTCACAAAAAGGATTTTAATTTAAGATGGGATAGCTACTATTTAAAAAAAACCACATTTTGTGTAATTGAATTTAAACTAATAAATTATTTATTAAATTAAAAATAGTATATTTTTTATTTAAACTAAATAAATTACTTTAACCATTCTTTTGAAGTCACCATGAAATCATGATAGTAATAAAAAATGTATGGTGTATTTTAGTATTTATTAATCATGACTTGTGGACATGATCTGTGGACATTAGTATTATTTTTTTCAATTCATGTACAGTATCTTCTCTAATGTGTTAACTGGCGTGAGGGTGGGACAACCTGTCACTCACACGACATCACAGCAATAGCAAACCACATCCAAATTAGATCCGCCCTACATTTTTTGGAGTAAAAATCTATCACTATAACAACTTCCGTTTCATTCTGCCTTAAAGTCAGACAGATCTTCCTGGTTAAAAAATGCAAAGATGCAAACAAAGCAATGCAAAGCAAAGCAAAGCAAAGCAAAAAAAAAAAAAAAAAAAAAAAAAAAAAAAATATATATATATATATATATACTGTATATATAGTTGCAAAACAAATGTAATACAATAATATTTTCCTTCAAGAATATAAAAGCATGACACATGTAAGTTTACACAAGCATTCAAAGTTTAATGGTTTTTAATTACAGTTAACAACAATTGTGAAGATTTTCACATTTTGCCTTCTTTTTTTTATTAGAGATACAGTTTTTTGAAGTAACTAACTAAGAGCCTCAGAGGAGTAGGTAATTACAGCATATTCAGACGTTGTGCTTAATTTTCTAGTGACCTCTTTAGAGTGGATGTGCAGTCTGTCAGCTGAAGCATGCAGTAGTCCTGCTCTGGCCTCATCTCTCCATCTCTGCAAAACACATTAACACTGTCACTCATCAGGTCACATGCTCCATGCAATTATATAATTGTATTTATTTATAATACTGTATATTTTTTCTCACCGGTCTTTGGTTTTTTGAAGTCTGGGTAAAGGTGTCAGATAGATCCGGATTGCTGGATCCCCTGACAGAGATCACAATATCAGCGTATGGGACTTCATGATCACTCTGGGTGTCTGCGGGAGAAAAAAGAAAAGAAAAAAAGTTAACTCTTGAATCATACTGCCATTCAAACTTTCTCCAGATGAGTGTAAGTTTGGGGTTGGTATAAGGTCGTGTAATGTTTATGAAAGAAGACACTTATTATTACGAATTAAAACAACTGTTTTTTTATTTGAATTTATTTTAAAATGTCATTTATTCCTGTGATGGAAAGAGATTCAGCATCATTCCTCCAGTCTTCAGTCTCACATGATCCTTCAGAAATTATTCGGATATGATGATTTGGTGGTCAAGAAATATTTCTTATTGTTATCAATGCTGAATACAATTGTTAAACAGATTTTTCAGCATTCTTTGATGAATTGAAAATCAGAAAAGCATTTATTTTTGTCTTTCTTTACTGTCACTTTTGATCATTTTAATGCATCCTTACTGAATAAAAGTAATAGTTTCTAAAGCTTATATAAAACTTTTGAATGTTAGTAAACTGTATATATGTTATACATTATGTATAGTTTATTTTTATATTAATCCTTATAAATTGAGATTGACCTTGAGCAATTGGCCTCATCACCACGGCATTTCTGGATGGATCCCTGCAAGAGACCAGATACTGCTGGTGAAAGTGATTTGATATGTTTTGCTACTTCATAATGATTCATTTTACATATGCAATTGTGCATTACCTTTCATGGACTATGTTAGTGGAATCCATTATCTTACACCCTCTTCTGTAACACAGATACACCAGATGGGCCGTCAGGACAACCACTGCAGACACTGCAAAACCTGCGAAGACCTTGGCCCAGGTGAATCCATCTGTATGGCAAAATGCTGACTTGATGGACTGTATTTTATGCGTTGATATATTTTTGGAAGTGTAAAACACTCACCTATCGTGTTAACCTCTATATCCACAGTGAAAGCCTGGTTTGTGCAAGGCTCTTTAGTTTGGCACCTGTATCGTCCACTATCCTCGCCTTTGATTTCACTCCATTGTATTACACCGTCATTTTTTGCGGTCAAAGGGAGGGTACTGTTTTCTCTGACCCACTGGACCTCACAGTTTTTGATGGCAACACAGCGAAGTAAGAGTGAGGTTCCTGCCATCACTTCGATAGTGGAAAATGATGTAAGTACCTCATCTGACTCCCCCTGACCCCTATACGACTCTACTCTTAAAGATGGACCTAGATCTAGACCAGTAAGACACAAGGACACAAAAATAATACAAAACAATAGTCTTAAAAATAGCACAGTAAGTGGAACTGACGTAGACTCACTGTATTCCGGACACTTTGCACAGTAAAACGTCCCGTAAGATATCAATCCGTGTAAAGGTAAACCTGATTGGCTTGTCTGTCTTTGGAGACATGACTTCCACATGTTCCAAAGTTTGATTGACACATTTTGGGCTAATCGTTTTGGGGAAATGTTGAAAAAACTGGACTCGCGGTATTCCGGACGGCTGAAAATTTCGACTCACTGTGTTTCAGAGAGTTAAGGAGGAGTCATTTCTAATATAAAACACATACATTTTAACAACTATAAGTTAGTAAAATAATCATATTAATCTTCATAACTTTGTTGTATAAGCATCTATACAGGATTATATTCTAACGTTACATTTAAGCATTTTAAATATTTAAATTTTTAAAATCCTTTAAAAAGTTAGGTTAAATATTTGCAAATTGTAACTCATAATTATTTTATAAGACCATTTCTGGTGGGTGATCATGTTTTAAGAGCCGTTTTCTATGGAGGTATTCTCCCCTCCCCTTATTAAAGCTACACTGTGATTTTTACCCCCATCTAGCGGTGAAAAGATATATGACCATCCAGTGAATATTAGTTTCTGTTCCTTTCAATTCCAATTTCGTTTTAACTCCTACGGTGGCCAATGTAGTCCAAGATTAACATGGCTTCCAGTTCGACCTCGTACATGAGTGTTAACTCAAATGTAAACGCGAAAGGCGAAGCTTGAATTAACGGGTATGTCCCTCTTTGGCTAATGTACTTTCAAGATGGAGGGGCAACATGGCCCATACATTAGAACCCCATACCCGTATGTATTTTCAATGGCATATTATACACTCACGAGAAGACTTTATTACTTGAATGAAGTAAATATAAATTAATGAGCACATATATTTTTGAAAGAACTAAGTGTTTTAGCTAAGAATAAACTAAAAGAGTTACACAGTGTAGCTTTAACTGCCGGAAATCCTTCCCCCCGCCATTTTCTGAACAGTCATTGGTGTACGTTAGAAACTCACGTTGATTTCTTTTAAATGACTGGCTCTGGAAACATAGGGTTGGTCGGAATCGAAAGAGGCGGAGGCAAAGGTGACATGAATATATACAGTACATATGCCGTGACCTAAAAGTGTTTATTTCTAGAATTTGCGAGAAAAGGTCAAGTGTCCGGAATACAGTGAGTCTATGTGGATACACAACTTACAGACTCACCAGCTTGTCCTGTTGAAGGTGTTACTTGTTCTTTGGATTCATCTATATGAAGCATTATTGCACATATAGTAAGAAAGGGCCTGGGATGAATTGATTCATGTTATTCATCATAAATAATAAACTCAAAAACGCATCTTACCGTAAACTTGCAACGTTACCAGAAGCTCTGTTTTCCAAGGAATGCCCGGTTTGTCACTCTCTTCAGAAAAGCAAGAATAGTTATACTGCGTTTGCTCCATAATTAGATGAGCTGTGTATATGCTCACAGTGCACATGTCTCCTAATGTTAATGTTTTATGATTCCAGTGGCACTTGCCACATACTGGAGTTTCTTCCCATTTCCAGTAACCACGAGCGAATCCACTGGAACAGTTGTAGGTACAATTTAAAGTTAACGGTTCTTGGAGTCTTGCATTCATAATTTCACGCTGGATTTCAGAACTCGTACTTCTTACAGCATCTGTGAAGAGCCATAAAGTTAACAGCAACTTGAAATTACACTTATATTAGTATTGAAGTGAAATATCTAATTTACCACATTTGATATAGATCATCATAAAAATGATATATAGCATTTCCAGTGACATTACCTTGGAATCCTAATTG